TGTATTTTTTTTAATCATCGATGTTGTCTGTTCAACACAATTGTGAACAAGTCGAGACAACGGACGTCTGAATTACGAATCGTCACCATTGTTATACCACGTAAAATTGAGGCTTTTCCTCCAAAAAAATAACACAAGTGTCACTCCAATTTCCTCACGTTTCTTGATTAGAATTCCTCATTTCTTTATAAATATATTATTTTCTATTATGCTTCACTTAATTCATCGGATCTGAGCACAATATGCGATCTGAGTGGGAAGTTCATGCTCGCTGGATCTTAAGTGGGTGACGCCATCTTGGATTCACGATCACGAGGTCAAAATAGTTTACATCATAAATATATATTTTTCACATTTTGATCTCAAAAAACAAATACATTATCAAAAATAATGACAAAAATCAAAACCTAGAATAATAGTACGACTACATTTCTAAAAATAATAATGAAAATACGTTTCGTACACACCGAAAATATGTGGCTTTTGACCCCAAGTGTGACTATATCATTTTGATATGAATATACGTTTGGCAAAGAGCATATGACACCGGGGCTTACGGCTTTGTCTTTATAGAACTGCTTTGTTTTTTTAAAACGATATCCAACCAATGAGAAACAACAGGGGATTATCATGGGAAATTGGCGTTAATTCAATGCATTTGTAGATTTAACTAATTAGCCAGGAAACTTTACAGTCTGTGAAGATATCAGATCACTGAATAAATAATAGAATCGCGGAGGAAACACATAGTGTCGTGGGCAAATTCGATCGCGTTGCGGCCTGCGACGCTGTTTTGGCCTTTGGAGAACACTGGGTTTGTCAAATAAGTGTTTCCTATACATTGAAGTATCTGTTGAGATCAAAATTCTTGGTACATCTTGTTTAAATTGTGAGTGAGTAGACATTTGTAATCTTCTTTATTCACCTGTAGTAGACGACGTCTGTCTTCCTGTCACAGCTAGCTATTGTAGAATACTTTATTTTCACTTGGAATTAATTTTCGCTGAAGGAATGATTCAGTGAAAATAAAATCCAGTGAATATACCTTTTTTCCTACATTTTACATTCAACTCGTCAAAAATTAGTGAAAATAAATTCCATACAAAACACCCAAAAGGCCTATTCAGCGAAAATTAATTCCAGCTAAAATAAAGTATTTAACAGTATATCTGCCAGTCTGAGATTGTTCTTAATTATTTTTCAATGTCTAATTCACTGGTGTTTGTTATATATAACATCAACAACAATTTTTTTTCTTCCCTTTTTAACAGAATTAAAAAAGCTAAACGTCGTGTTGGAGGTACTGAAAGTGATTCTGGGTCTCCAGCTTTTAAAGGCTTCTCGGGCTTTGCTGGTCTTGCTGAATCATCTAAGGTGAATTTTGGGGAAATGCAGTTCAAGTCTGTGTCAAATGGAACAAATACAAAGTCTTCAACACCATCATTTGGGGCAGCTACTTTTACATCCTCGCAACCCAAACCTGTCACCACAGTCCAGACTCCAGAAATAAAGATTACTCCAACCATCGGTATGTCAATAAAAACTAAGTCACTATTGGAAAAAGAGAGTTACAATTCTGAGTACTGCAAGCGACTGAAGGAACTTAATAAATCTGTGTCTGCCTGGATTGAGAAACATGTTGCAACAAATCCTCTCTGTGACCTGACGCCAATATTTCAAGATTATGAGAAACATCTGCGCGAGTTAGAAAAAAAATATCCACCAAGCAGCAGTGAAAGTGAGACTGAAAAGGAAGAATTTCCAGGTGAAAGTGAAAAAAAACCCTCTAAGATGAGTAGTGATGTCGGTTCTAAAGTGTTGAGTGGTGCTGACACTGGCATAGAGTCGATGAAACCAACTTTTAAGTTTGGCAGTGTTAAAGAAGATTCATCAAAGGACACTGCCAAATCAGGTTTTCAATTTGGCAGTGGTATTGTTAAGGAGGACTCCACAAAACCAAGTTTTCAATTTGGCAGTGTCAAAGATGAGCCTGTCAAACCAATGAGTTTCAGTTTTAAGAAAGCTAGCGACTCATCAAGTAGTGAGGGCAAAGGTTTTCAGTTTCCATCAACACATGGTGCTGCTGCTGGTTCTTCTTTCTCCTTTGGTGCTGCTGGTAGAACTGGTGGCACAACTTCAGGTTCTGGATTTTCATTTGGAGTTAAGCAACCCTCAAGTTCTGGTGGCGATAAGGCTGCAGGTAAATAACTTGCATTACTTGCTCACTGGATCTATTTATTAAATGATATTGTCACATGGTGACTCTGGAATTGTTACATTACCTCAACCTGATGAATGGATATGGCATAATAATAAAATAAATGAAGTTTTAATGTGTACCGGTACCATATTTTTTTCATAGAGAAGATAAGCGAGGATGAAACCCCACCTAAGAATGAATTTACAGAGGTAAAAGAAGATGATGCTCAACATTCAGTAAGGTGAGAATATAGATAAATATGTAACAATAGATTGTCCTGAGCTTAATGGGCACAGAACTCTGACAAATTCCGACTCTGTGGGCTTTTCTTTCAATTTGCAATTCATATGCGCAGGACTACCCCCTGTAATCATTGTATGAAGCATCTACTCATGTTACAAATGGGTACTATTTCAGACTGGAAGTATACATTAATACACATTGTTCGTTGGAGAGGGGGGGGGGTTACTGTCCATGCAAAAATTGTTTCATAAGCACCAACGTCTCATGTTAATGTAGCAAACAAATTTTAAAGTGCAACAACATGATATAGGGTCATAAAGATTTTCAGTGGATTTGGATGTATTGGAATTGACCAGAACATTTATTTCAAAATTGCTCTAATTTTGCAGAAGGCATAGAGTGGATTGCTAAAGCCCCCTCTTCTGAATGGTTTGATGCCTTTCATAATTTAAATCAGCCACAGAAATTTTGGCTTTGTAATTGGCCGACTCTCAGAGTTCAATTTTTGTGAATGTGATCATTATCTTTATCTTAAATTGATTTTTTTGACTTTCTTTTGTTAGGTGTAAACTGTTTTTCAAGAAAGAAGCCAGCTATTGTGAGAGAGGCGTTGGTATGCTGTATCTCAAAAAAATAGGCAATGTCTTGCAACTACTGATAAGAGCAGATACAAATTTAGGTTTGAATACATTAATCACTTTTAAACCCTTGTCTGATGCAGTTGGAAATGAGCACTTTTGCTTTGAGTTCCATACGTGCATTTAACCCAACACTGTTTCTGAGACGTGCTAGGATTGATTATTTAGAAAGTTGGTTCACAGACGAGTGCATGTTGATTTTTTTTCTTTCTTTGACCTTTGACAGACTGGTATCAATTTTAATAGATTTCGTTAAATGGCAATATTCATACCTATAATCACTTTATATACAAGATTGTTACCGTATTTATCCGGGTAAGACCCTATGCCCGAACAAACACCCACCCCCACTTTTGATGTAATAAATAAAAAAAAAAAAACTTATTTTTGTTCATTGTATTAACAGTTTACCTCCTTGCAATCTGTTGTGATTCTGATACAAAATTTTGAAAAATAAATGTCAACAACTATGAACTTTTGTAATTTTACTGCGTAAATTATTATTGATCTTTTATGGCTGTTGATCCGGTATTTGTCAAAACCGGAAATAATTCATGCGTATGGGGCGTGTTTGTCGACTGGGATATTCCAATTCAAATGAATCTTCACCGACGATTTTTATTATTTCTGGTTTATTTGTCACATTCTAAGCAATAAATTATTTCTTGTTACACTTCTAATGCTGCATATTGTTCATTTATTTTTGTTGCATGTTTTTATTTGCCGTTTTACTCCGTCGCAGTTCGATCTGCGTGTTGCCAATTTTCGCGTTTTTTCGTTTTTTTTTTGCCGGGGATATCCGGACAAATGCCCACCCCTTCTTTTTGGTGATTTTCCATGTTCAGGACCCTGGGCTCTTACCCGGATAAATACGGTACAGGCTGAGCTATCTCATTGGCAATGACTTCGTTTTGTTTCTCGTCATTGGCTGAAAATTCATCTTATTTGCATAAATATATAATTTATCAAAATAGAATATCATGATTAGAATAGAATAACTAATATTAGAAATGGCTGTAAGTGTTTTTTTTTAAAACTTTCTTCTATCTAGGCTAGATAGCACCCTCCTAGGGTAAATTCTTCTGTGAATCTGGATATTATGTTTTATATTTTATAGCGATTGGTTAATAATAATTTATGTCAACTGAACAATTACAATCTTGGTTGCATCTACCTTGACAGCCGATCAGTAATATTGAATTTTAATGCTGAAAATGTTGTTACTTGACATGTTTGGTTTCATAGAAGTAATATGCTCACAAAGTATTTATGTTGCTTCCAATGCATTAATTCATGGTTGTTAGTAAAGATGTTAGTAATCTGATGCAACTGCTAGGAAATAGTGATTTTTCCATGCCACATGAAAACTGCAGTGATTTACAGTTCTTTATACTACTATTTTACAGGAAATATACTATTAAATATTGGAGTACCACCATCAATACCAGTCAGCAGACAGGGAAAGAACAACCTACTGCTAGTCGCACCAGCCAATCCTCCAGTTGACAAGCAATGCCCTATGTGTGAGAAAAAGTATGTGAATCCGCAGGAGAGCAACAAGTGTGAGAGTGGATGTAAAGCGGAAGCAGTCCCCTTGCTGATCCGGGTGAAAACTGGCGATATGGCAGATGAACTTTTAAATAAAATTAATGAATTGAAAGAATAAGTTATCAATTTTGTATTGAAGACAAAAGAAATTTTCTGCTTGAGCAGTTCTTATATGATTTGTAGAGACAGCTTGGTGTAATATATTTGATAATTTACCTATATCACCCAGACTCTCACCACACAGCACTAGTATGCAAATACACACTTGAACATTTTAAATATTACTGCTGACTGAAGTCATATTTTGAGTTTCATTAGGATATATTGTTGCTAAACATCCATGTCTTGGCATGTGGAATGCACTCCACTCCTACCTGAATGCTTTTACATTTTAAACTTGCATAGTAATGAAACGTATCTACCTTCAATATGTAAGATGCCTATATTCATTTCAGATTATCATATGAATATACAATACATTTTCTCTGTCTCAATAATTGAAAACAATGGCTTACTCTGGTATTAAATATTAATTCATATACCAATACATGTATATATTGTGCTTCCCATTGCCAGTCATCTTTTATATTTTTTTTTAATTGGTATTCTGTTGGAGAATAACGATGCTGCCATCAGCTTCCAGCATATTATGTTAAATAACACAGGAATTTTTTTTCAATTTTTGCAATGTTAAATGCCATTTCAGAAAGACTGAAAAGGGATACTATATCGTTGTGCCTTTCCAACAATCACGAGTGCCGAGTACGCAGATACATAAATGACTGAGGTGTTATGCCTATGGTCAAGTTGTATTTCAATGATCCAGTATACAACTGTTACTTTACACTTCTAATAAAGCAAATACGATATTGAACACTATCATGTGAATATCCAATACATAGTTTTTTGTGCTTACCTTTTATGTCTTGTCGGAGTATGGGAGAAATGACTAATAAACCTGAGAATGTAGTTATGGCAGTTATGCCTGTCTTCAAGTATGTCTTGTGACAAGTACCTGGTGGATATATTTTTTTTCTCTCTCGCAATTTTATATTCTTTCTGTGAATTACATTTATTTTAAATTAATTTTTGTGGAAAACTGATTTTGTTGGACACTGTCTGATGTCGATAATTATAAGCCGATTTGCCTCTTTCTGCAAATATAAATTCCAAGAAAAAAAAAAGTACAATACTAGTATTACTAAATAGTTTGTTCTTTATAGCTATTTTATCTCCATTCATATTGTTATCTGGAATCCAACCTTATTTGTGATATTCTTTTTTTTGACTCATGTGTGCGAAGCACAAAAAGGGAGTCTTTGCAGTTAGTGTGTGTGTATGTGTGTGTGTGTCCGTCCGTCTGTTCCACTGATATCTCAAGAACCATACATCAGTTTTTGATGAAACTTGGTGCATAGATGCTCTGGGCCAATGCAGATTTGATTAGGTTTTGGTAAAAATCCATGCATATTAATTACCTAATTTGCATGATAATTAGCTGATTTTTGGCTGTTTCATGACTGTTCCACTGATATCTAAAGAACCACTCATTGGATTTTGATGAAACTTGGCACACAGATGCTCCAAACTAATGCGCAGATTTGATTAGTTTTGGGTAAAAATCTGCAATATTAATTACCTAATTTGCATAATGATTAATCAATATTCGGCTTTTCCACTGATATCTCAAGTACTAATCATCACATTTCAATAAAACTTGGTACATAGATGTCATAGGACACTGCACAAACCTGAAAGTTTTTAGGGTAATATCAGTAGATATTAATTACCTAATTAGCATAATTAATTAATTTTCAGCTTTTGATATTTCAAGTACTAATCACCACATTTCAATGACACTTGGTACATAGATGTCATAGGTCACTGCACAGACCTGATAGTTTTTAGAGTAATACGAGTACATATTAATTACCTAATTAGCATAATTATATTTCAGCTTTTGATATTTCAAGTAGTAATCATCACATTTCAATGAAATTTGGTACATAGACATCATAGGACACTGCACAGACCTGATAGTTTTAGGCTAATATCAGTATATATTAATTAGCTAATTTGCATAATTTTCAGCTTTTGATATTTCAAGTAGTAATCACATTTCAATGACACTTGGTACATAGATGTCATAGGACACTGCACAAACCTGATAGTTTTTAGGGTAATATGAGTACATATTAATTATCTAATTTGCATAATTAATTAATTTTCAGCTTTTGATATATCAAGTAGTAATCATATTTCAATGAGACTTGCTACATAGGATTATGCAGAGACCTAATTAGTTTTAATTGGATATTAATTACCTAATTTGCATAATGTTCCACTGATATATAAAGAACCACAAATTGGATTTTAATGAAACTTTTAAAGAGAACTATGCAGAAACCCAATTAGTTTTTGGTAAATATTTATGCTTATTAATCTCCTAATTAACATAATTAACACTGATATCTCAATTACTGATCATCACATTTGAATAAAATTTGGTACATAAATGCTCTAGGACAATAGACAGGCCTGATTAATTTTGGGTTAAAATTTGTTCATATTAATTCTCTAATTAGCATAATAATTCATAATTTTTTTGTTCTGTTCATATTAGTTACCTGATGTACATAATTAGTTTTCAGCTTTTCTATCAATATCTCATGTACAAGTAATTTTGAATTAATTTTTAATGTGTCTTCAATACTCTCAGCACGCGGAGTTCTTTCTAAGCTTTCTTTGATTTTGTTATGCAATTTATTTTGTAATGTTTTACAAATATATTGAATAATGACTACTACTGTTATCGTATCTGGCATGTCAGTGTGTGAAATTGGGTGAAGCCTTGTTCTACATGAACATAGCTCTACAACTCTGTCAGTGTCATTGCTCGTTAAATTTTGAAAAGGTCTATGATATGCGTTAGTAACTTCTCAATTCTTCTCGTATGTATGATGCAAAGTGGATACAAGCCCCTTGTTGTCCCACAAGGTTTGGGGCCATCAAATCTGGATCGTGTTCTTTCATTTAGTTAACCTAATTACACGCTACTTGCGTCAGGTAGCATCAAAATTAGATTTTGTCATTCCAAAACCTGTCCACGCTAGTCAGAAGATTTGATTATTCCCTTATATGGGATAAACTACATCACCAACACGTGTTATTGACGTCACATTCAAACGCTCATTTGTTTACATTGCATGCAAATGCACTATAGCAGTGAATCCAGTCAATGAATTCAAATGCTCACATAGCACAATACGTTTTTGGGCTATAATCTCATTAAATTATTACAAGCATGCAGTAAAGGATCACATGTAGATATTATCTCTATGCTCCCTTCATGATAACCTTGTATCAGCAGCAATGCATGGTGTGAAACAATTCATAAGCAAGGTATTGAGAATAAATGGAATGGACTGTATGTACATGTGTACGGTGGGGGGGGGGTATATGATGTAAGCTAATTTTTAAAACTTTGATACTTTGTCTCAAGATGGCAATACCAAGCTTATCCCATTATTGTTTAGCTTATTGACTAATTAACCACGTCTCCAAACTTGCAAGTTTACCATCCAAGATGGTGGCTTGCATTCCAACATAGTTAAGTATGTCTAGAAAATTTTGCCTTGAAATTTTGTGCCCTGAGATTACCAAAGTTTGAGTCTTGCACATAAATGCACATTCAAAAATTTACCAGCATACCAAGTTAAATATTAGATACCAGTTAGTACCAGTTTCCTATTGTTAGACTCTCCAATTATATTCTATGAGGGCAGTATTGTTTAAGGTTCTCCAGTTGTTCCATATGAGGGCACTATACTAACTCCAAATTGCCAGTTGTGCAGGAGGGCAGTATACTCTGAAGTTCATAGACCGATTTTCGCCAAACTTGCTGCATGGTTAATAGGGGTCGGCAAGGGATATTTTCGTAAGCTGTAATCAAGTGTTTTTAATTTAATGAATATTTTTGTCTTTTTTTGTAAAAAGTTGTATTTTCGACTTCTTGTTAAAAACCGCAAGTGTGATTGCTTTTATGTTGTACATATAGGTACCTCAGGTAGACCTCTTACATTTGTTCATTTTCTAATATCTTCAGTTCTTAATTGAAATGTGCATTGCAAACAGCAGAGCTATCTCTGCTTGTTATATCCTATAAAAACGTAAAATACCCTTATTTCCTGTAACCTTTACCAACTACCCCCTCTTGCAGCAAGTCTCAGAAGTATTGGGGCAGCCAAATTTGCAAACTCGCTAGCGAATTGGCTAACTGCTTTGGTTTTGACTAAACAGTTCTTTCGAGTGTGAAAGTTTGTTATTTTGCCCCTTATTTGTAGGAAACTGTTTCTCAACTTGTCTATTTAAGTTTCAAGCCAGTGTTCAAGAAAACGTTAACCTCTATAATA